CCATTGCTGGACTTAGAATTAGTGGGATTTCGCGCCGATGTTCACTTGCATGTTGTCCCTCCAGCACAGAAGAGCCTCCTATAGCCGTACTGCTCTGGTGAAATGGTTTCTTTCAGCCACCAGGAACAAAGCTTCCAGAAAGTCATCTTTTGCTCCCCATACTTCACCGAGGGAATGTGGCTATTTGTCAAGATGAGGAGCAAAAACAAGTCTACCTGAAAAATAGCTCTGATGTCCTGCAGCACACCTGCATGTGTGACATGGCACATGTCTCAGGTGGGCTGCGTGAGGACCCCTACAGAGATGCTCTGGGCTCCCAGGTGTCTGCACGGAGCTGAGCACCAGCGTTTCTCCCCGTCCCATCATGGCCTCCCTGGGACTTGGGAGACACTTCACTTCCTTGTCCTTCTCTCACTTACCCCTGTTTCTAACCATTACTTCTTTAAATTAAATTGTAGAGGGGCGCTGGTGGCTCAGTCATTTAAGCATCTGGCTCTTCATCTCAGCTCAGGTCATGATCTCACAGTTTGTGGGATTGAGCCCCGTGTCTGTGCTATCAGCAGAGCCTGCTTGGGATTCTCTCTCTTCCCCTCTCTCTCTGCCCCTCCCCTGCTGACACTCTCTCTAGTCAGGCTCTGTGCTGGGATGAGCACTGGGTGTTGTATGTAAGGGATGAACCAAGGGAATCTACCCCCAAACCAAAAACACACTGCATACACTGTATCGTAGCTAACTTGATAATAAAATATTTTTTAAATGTTAATTAAATTGTGATGAAAATACACATAACATTTACCATCTTAACCTTTTTTAAGTGTAAAGCTTAGTGGCATTGGGCACATTCACACAACTGAGCACCCATTACTACCGTCTGTCTGCAGAACCCCACCTCCTGCTCACATACAGCTCTGCTCTCCTTAAACACTAGCTCCCTGTTCCTTCCCACCTGGAGGCCACCATCCTACTGTCTCTATGAATCAACTCCAGTTACCTCACCTAAGTGGAGTCATTCAGGACTTGTCCTTCTTTGACTGGCTTATTTCACTCAGCGTGATGTCCTCATGGTTCATCTGTATTGTAGCACATTTTGAATCTCCTTCCTTTGTAAGACCGAATGGGATTATTCTCTTGTACATTCTCCTGAGGCGTTGTGCCATATTTGCGTCTGGATGACTAGAACCCTGTGCGCAGCTGGGAAGTGGGAAGGGAGAAGGAAGGGTGGAGGGGCAGGGAGATAGGAATGTGCCATGAGCTGCCCCATGTGTGACTTGCAGGTGTGAGGTGGTCTGTGAGAATCACAGGGGGTTCGGGAATGCCTTGGCCTCAGACAGGGCTTGTTTTGAATCTCAGCAGATCCTCAGTACATCTGACAGTAACTATCACCCTAGGGACAGGAGCAGGGACAGCCCTCTTACACAGCCCCAGGAGACAGAGAACCCCTCCCCACCCTGTTAGGGAACAGGGCAGACCATAGATCAGTTTCATGCATGTCTACATGTGCTTGGAGTTCTGTCACCTATTGCTCTGCCAGACTCTGGGCAACAGCAAGAAGGGACTTTGCAAGGGGTCAAAATATTCTTCTGGAAAGGGGAAGAGGGACACATAGGCTGTTTTCCATTCTGTCATACTTCTGCAAAGCACCTAAAATGCACAAGACACACCAGAAGCAAAGGAAAGAGGAACAGGGCACTTGGCAGTCCCTCACAGCTCTATAGGAATCTGATCCCCTCGGGTCTAACTCTTCCAGTCAGTGATAGAACAGGAGGCATAGAAGACATCTGAGGCGGGACTGCTGAACCTCTGCCAGCTCTTCCCCATCCCCTCGGCTGCCCAGATGTGATCTTTGTGTGGACCAAAGTCAATTTGCATATTTCCTAGAGCATGTGCCCTGGTTGTATGCCCAGGGATGGAGACGCTGGCACCCTCTGGCCAACAGCATGCAGGTGACAGTCTTGTGAGTATAACATACAAGTCTCTCTTTCCAGGGTTGGCCTCCAGGAAGCACAGCAAATACAAAAGACGGGAGGGGGACACAAAGCTCTGTCCACAGCTGGGGTCAGCACAATGGTGCCAAACAGGTGTCATCAACCTAAAAGCCTGACGTCTGCTCTGTGTTCACAAAGTCAATTGCAAAAGGTCAGGATAAAGGAGATCTGGCTGAGAGTCTTCTAAGTTCTCTTTAGCTTAGAAAATAGAAATGGTGTGGAGCTGAGCAGCATTAATAAACATGGAGCCTCCACTGAAAGAGGGAGAAAATCATCACTTTCTCTCCTGCTGCCTTCAGACCCCATCTGGGCCATTTTGTCCACAACAAAGCGATCCATTTGGAGAACAGTAGTGACTGATTAGAGACTTAGAAGGGAAAGGATTCAGAACCTGTCACATGCAAATTATCTCGATCAAGTGAAGAGTACACTTAAAAGGGGAACAAAAGAGTGGTCTTCAAATATTTAAGGAGGTAATCATGCCACTCCAAAGACCAGAACAAGGAGAAATGGGAAGGATTTGGTTTAGTTCTTACAGTGTCATTTAAATAGTTGTCAGGTCGTGAAATGGGGACAAGATTTGCTCACTGGCCTTTGGGACTTCGTTGTCTGGGAGAAGATAAGTAATAACAATTGCTACAAGCCATACAGGCTGATGTGTGTCAGGTGCTACTGTAAGCAACTTAAAGGCAACATGTCACTTGTCATCACACCCCAAGGTACACACACTCCTTTCCATCCCGTAGCTGATGCAAGGGATCTGGGGAGAGAAGTTTCCCTGAATTTATTCCTGGGGGCATGGAGGATGGTGATGAGCTCTTCGAAGGGGACCGAAGCTTGCCCTAAGGGACAAGGAGGAACAGTAGAGGGAGGGGTCTGGGTAGCTCCATCTTCTCAACATTTACCCCAACCACTACCACCACCCCGACCTGGCACAAGCTCCCCTCATCTCCTTCCTGGACTGATGCAGTAGCCTCTCCCTGGTCTCCTTGCTGCTGCCCTGGAGGGCATATCTCTCCTCTTTCCAAACCCTCTGGGACTGCATCTTATTCAATCAAGAGCCACAGTGGCCAGCCAGGGACTGTAGAGTCTTCCCTGTGCCCTCTCATATCCCTCTCTCTGCTCCTCCCTCCTCCCCCCTTTTCCAGCCACACTGGACTCCTTGCTGCTCCTCAACCCTGCCAGCACACTCCTCCCCAGAGCCTTTGCACCCACCATGCCCTCTACCTGGAGGTATTTTCCCAGGGAACCACAGTGCTTAATTCTCTTGCTTCCTTCCAGGCTCTGCTCACATGTCAGCTTATCAGTGAGTCTGTCCCTGCCCACTTGTGTGCTCACTCCTCACCTCCTCCCCTGACCTTCCCTACACTACCTTATTTTTCTCTAAAGTGCTTACTACCATGTAGCATCTTCTCTACTCATATGTGATATATGTTATATAGAGTCTACTGTGTTATATTCTATTGTATATCATTTGTTGGTTTACTGTCTGTCCGCATTCAGACAGATTTGGAGGGCAGGGCTTTGTCTTGTTCACTGCCACATCATCAGAACCTAGCACAGTGCCTGGCATCTGGGAAGCCCTCAGTGAATGTGCCATGCTAGGATGGGTGCATGAGCAAGTAAGCTAGAACTGGAGATGAAGTGGGGGTTGGCACCACCCAGTGTCCCCTAAAGGACTTTGCCTGTGGGAAGATACTGCTGACATTTCTTTTTTTAAAAGGGTTTTTTTTTTTTAAGTTTTTTTAATTTAGATAGAGAGCATGAGTGAGAGAGAGGCAAAGAGAGAGGAATAGAGAGAATCCTAAGCAGGATCCGCACTGTCAGCACAGAGCCTGACATGGGGCCTGATCCCACGAACCTTGAGATCATGACCTTGAGATCATAACCTCATGAGCTGAAATCAAGAATTGGACGCTTAACCAACTGAGCCACCCAGGTGCCCCAACACTGTTATTATTTCTGTACAGTAGGATAGCATAATCAGACTTGATTTGAGCAACTTAAGACCATTCCAGCTGATGATGAAGAAATGCATGGTTATCAGAGATGGCCATCCACAGATTGAGCCATTGTGTCAATATGGGAGCTCCTGGGGGCTAGGTGGACTTGAGGCTCATGCAGGGACCAAATAGGAGAGAGTCCTTTTGTGTCCCCAAAAAGGCATTCAAAGCCCCATTTGGTGTCCTGAGAAATCATGACTTACAACTGCTCAGTTTCTTTCCACCACCCCAAGGCCGACAGAGGCCATGACAGAATCAGGGTCCTTCAAAGATAAGGCAGGTAGACCGAGTTCAAGTTGAGCACTTTCAACAGCTCCATCCTGCCACAGTCCACAAGGTGCCTCCTCAAAAGTGACAGTCTCCACCCAAAAGGGCTATCCACTCTTTGAAAAGCAGGGAGTACCCGGTCCCGGTGTGTTCAAGCTGGCCCTGGAGCGTCCTTTGTCAAGGGCTGTACCAGGCTGGTTTTGTTGCAATGACAAACGACCCCAGTATCTCAGTGGCTTGTAGCAAATGGTGTCACATTATTACCGAGCTCAGCTGTTGGAACATCCCCTGCACTGGGACCTGCTACTCTCATGGCAGAGGGTAGGAAACAGGGAGAACCAGAGCCAAACCACATAATCACACTCAAAGCTCCTGCTGGGACATGGCCAACTTCGTGTCCACTCACACCCCATTGAACAAAGCACTGTTGTATACAGTGGGTGGGATATGTAATCCCACTACAAGGAGAGTGACCACTTGGGAGCAATAATTGAATCTGCCATAGAGGTGTTATGTACAGAAGGTTTTGTGTTTTGAATACGTTATTGAACCGCTCAACTCCTGTGGCTTCCGCGGCCCCACTACTTCAGAATTATTTCTAAAGTTGATTGCGAAGCTCTCTGAGTCAATCTCCCTCTCTCACAATACAGACCCAAGATGCCATGATCTCTGTCCGCAAGGCCCTCCAGTGAAGCTGGTTTCCCCACCCAGTTTTTCTCTCACTGTCTTTCCTCCTCCTGGACAGGTGGGTGGCAGGCCCGTGGAGCCCCTGCTCAGCCACCTGTGAGAAGGGCATCCAGCATCGGGAGGTGACCTGCGTGTACCAGCTGCAGAACGGCACAGATGTCACCACACGACCCCTCTATTGCCCGGGACCCCGGCCAGCACCAGTTCAGAGCTGTGAAGGCCAGGACTGCCTGTCCATCTGGGAGGCATCTGAGTGGTCACAGGTGAGTGCCTGGGCTGTCACCAGTGCTGAACCCGCCAACAGAGTGTCTGGCCCTGTCCACCACCCAACTGGTGCCTTTCTCTCCATGGTATTTGTGACTCAGCGCATCACAGTCTTTGCCAGCTCCCCAGTATCCAAAAGATGCATTCAAGTCGTCACATATTCTTAAATTCTATCTGAGATAACAGTATGGCTAAACAAGCATAGGTAATGTAGTTTTGATCATGCATACATTTCTGATAATATATACCACAGTTTGATCCCATTTTCTATGACAGTTCTCATGTAAAGATGGATGGATGGATGGATGGATGGATGGATGGATGGATGGATGGATGGATTGGTGGACGGAAGAATGGGTGGGTGAGTGGGTGGATGGGTGGATAGACAGGTAGGTGCATACATAGGTAAGTAGACAGGCAGACCAACTGACCAACTGACTGATCTTTTAATTTTATTTCAACATATTTTAACTTTAGTGTGATCAGATTGGGAAGGTGGTATCATAGGCTTTCCTTGAACTCTGTGTCAGTCTTTGTGAATTGTAAGAGGCAAGCAAATGCTGGGAGGGACAGTTTTTAGTGTGCAAGTTGGAGTCACACACCTTATGCGATAAAACATGTTGGAAAGAAGTCAATTAAGCCTTAAGTTTTAGCTTTGAAGACTGATTCTGGTAATATTTTATCTTTGGTAATATCATCCTTCAAGGCTTTGCATTGACTTTGCGTTAATGATTTGACTGTTTGGCCATAAAACAAAAAAAATAGCTAAATAAAGGGCAAGTTTCCCTCAGATCCTCCATCAAGTGTGTTCTAGGAAAGTCAGAAAGGCTAAATCCAAGACACTCTTCAGTGTGGAAAATATTTTTAAGTTCCTTTTTATTGCCAAACAGTTAGAATTATTTTGAATAAGAACGTATTCAGCCCATTCTTAACGAACAAAAAGTCTGCCTTTGGCTACTTTGAAATGGGGATTACTGTTCAGACGGATCTTGACATGTACCCGTTTAAAGACCTGAGTCTTTAACATGCCCTTTATGATATTTATAGAAAAGAGAGAGTTTAAATTTTTTATTTTTTTCTATGTCCTAAGGTTTGTGAGTTGCACATTCCAGGGACCATTTTTAGGGAGGGGAGCTACTTGCTGAAGGGGTAGAGGCAGGAATGCAGTCTTCTCCCCAACCCACCTTGAGCCTAAGGTCCTTGATCACCTGGCTCTTGATCCAAACAAGATTTACAGTTTAATCAGATCAAAGCCATACATTTTCCATTTGGATTCTTTCTCACAGAAAAAAGAGAAAAAGGTCCTTACAAAACTAACCAAGCCTGACATCATCAACTATCACCATAGTATTAAAAAGAATACCAGATTGGAAAAGGTGAGACAGCTAAAGCAGTATTTAAAGAAATATCTCTAATTTCACGTCTATATCTCTGTGCATATGTGATCCTAATGCTGAAATAGCATCAATACCAATCAGTCTAATTCTGGCTCATCCCAACCTTGAGCCAAATGCGTCTTTCTGCACATTCAACTTGGAATCAAATCTCGCCCCCATTCATGAGATGCTCACCAAACCTGTATTTCTACTGCTTTGCCACATGCTGAATCAGCCCCTTTAATATTATTTCTAGAAACAAATGGGTTTAAGTTTCTAATAGCAGAGAAATTTATTTTATCGACAATGCTGCCTTTATTCAGCCAGCAGTGTTGATCACCCTTACTGTCTACACCCCACCTACTTCCCAGCTTTGTTAGAATGAGGAGCAGAAACCAGGAAGGAAGCAAAAGATAGTGACTCTCTCCTGTCCTGGGCTTCTGGTCCTGGTCGCTGGATCAGAAGCCAAGGGAGAAACTGAACATGGCCTTCCTAGGTCCCCTCCAGAGGAAACCCCACCTGCAATGCTGCCCTTTTCTCAAAGCTTAAGGCTTCCAGCCAAGGCTGCTGGTCAGAAAGGCTGAGCTAGGGTTTGCTAAAGAAATAGGTGGACATTTCCCAAGGGAAAGGGACAGGGAACACAGAGTAGAGTAAGACAATGCAGCAAATGGTAAGCAGGCTTCTAGTTGAAGAAAGAGCCAGTGGTGTGGGTGCTGATACCAGGGAGGAGCCCACATATCAAATGGTGAGGGTAGAGCTGATGAAATGGTCATGGAGCATCACCATACAGAGAAGCAGAAGTTGAAGGTCAACTCAGGAACCCAGGCTCCCTGCAGCAGCCCTCCTGGCTACAACCCATCCTGCCCAGGAAGGTGACACCTGCAATAGACTGACCCCTTGTATCCGAAGTCCTGTTAAGCCAGTCCCTCACCCACACACAGGACCAAATACACATGGTCTCCAGCTCCCCCCAGGTGACCAGTTCTGAAGCCTGTGTATTTCTTCTAAAGTTTCTTTATTTACCTTGAGCAAGAGAGAGACAGTGGGGGAAAGGCAGAGAGGGACGGATGGAGAGAGAATCCCAAGCAGGCTCCTCGCTGTCAGCGTGGAGCCCAGCTTGGGACTCAAACTCATGAATTGTGGGAACATGTCCCTGCCTATATATTTCTTCGAAAACAAGCCAATCTAAGTTTCAAAAAGAAAAGAAAAGAACCCCACTGGGCCCCTTAGAGCTAAATAGAATTCATCAAAAAATAAATAAATAAAGCTAAATAACATTTTGGGATAAGCATTAATAATAATGGAAATATAAAGAATAACATTCAACCTCTGTGCATTTTTTCAAGGGACACAGTGGAACTTTTTAAAATCAAGTTTATTGTTAACTCAAGAGTATCACTGCCGTATATTTTGGATAAATGAAGCAAGTATGAAAACAGGCATTCAAATTGCTAGGGCTCCATTTTGGCGCTACTACAGCTCATGAGCTGTCCCCACCATAGCTCTGGGAGCCAGCAGTTGGGAGGAACCCTCCTGGGCAGCCAGGGTCCTCTTGTGTCTGTACATCTTGGCAGAACACCGCCTTCAGCCCACCGTCTTCACGAGCTCCATATTTGTTTGCGTGGCAGAGACAGGGCTTCCTCACCCAATAGATAAGAGGGAGGCCTCCCTGGATCTGCGGGCCATGTCTCCTCCTCTTGCTGGACAGATCATGCACGCTGTCAGTCCTGTCTTCCCAAGGTCACAGGTCTGCTCTGCCTGGGCTTCCTTCTGCTTGGTGTGGAGGTGGATAAGCACTCTTTGAGCCTGGGTGAGGTCACTCCCTGAGCTCAGGGGGAGCAAGCCAGGAGCAGGCTCCAGATACACCCCGCAGGTCCACACTACTTACACCTTCACTCCATCTCTCATCCCTAACTCAGTGTATCTTGCTGCCTGAGGGCATGGGGATCTTGACCTCTCTTGACGCTCACCCATGATTTGTCATTCCTCAGGCCCTACTTTGGCCCCATCCCCACATTGTCTCTTGCAGTGTCTCTCAAGAAATAAGTAAAATGCCACAGGGAACATGGCTCCATTATATCTTGTCGTCTATGCTTAAAACAGTCATCGTAGCTCTCTGCAAGAGCTTGCCACCTGCCTTATGAAAGTCACCTGTGGCCTGACTTTGCATCTCCCCCATTTTCCACCCTGAATCTGGGCCTTTGCCCCAGGCTGGCCCAGGCAGAGTGCATATAGCTGGAGGCCAGCAGGGAGGACCCAAGGGCCACACATATCTTTGCTTTGGTGTCCTCCCCTGGCTTCACCTGCTCTGCTTAGGAGTCTGGCAGCATTTGCCCCTTGAACTCATCTACTGCATCAGTCTTTGGGACTTTTCAGTGGGCAACTAAATTCCTAGTTTGGTCTTTTGGGTACCCCTGAGCACTCTCCACTCCCCCCATCACTGGCCACTTGGCTAGAGTCACAGAGGGACCAGGTGCATCAGGCCCAGGAGACCAGGATCTTCCTCACCCTTGCATCCCCAGCCCTGGGTCTGGCATGTAGTAGCGACTTAATAAGCCTTGATGAACTTGAGCTGAATCAGACGAGATTAAACATCCAACCGGTGTCTTGCAGTGCTCTGCCACCTGCGGTAAAGGGACCCAAAAGCGAACCGTGACGTGCACCAACTCGCAAGGAAAATGCGACGCGTCCACAAGGCCGAAAGCAGAGGAGGTGTGCGAGGACTACTCCGGTTGCTACGAGTGGAAAACCGGGGACTGGTCCAAGGTGAGTGCAGTGCGCCTGCGTTTCCACCCTGCAGGGACCTCCGGGTGCAGGGGCTCGGATCTCACCACGCGCCTCAGTTCAACGAGGTGGTCCCAGTCCACTCAGACAAGCAGGGTGCTCCGGATGCCAGTTGGCTCTCCTGTGCTGCATGCTGGCTGTGCCCCAGCATCCTGCGGGGTGGGGGGCGGTGATGGCCGCCAGCCATGGCAAAAGCGTCGTGAACACACAGGAGCCTTGGCTGAGGCGGATGCAGGGGGGCCTGGTAGGCAAACAATACTTCCACTCATTCCAGGACCCTTGGGTGAGGGCCTGGGTAGGTAGGGACCTTTAGTGTGGCAGAAAGGAAGAGCCTTCTTCCAGAGCCTGGCGTGCACTCCTGGGGGACAGAGAGGCTTAAATGGCACTGGAATGAAAAACTTCTTTGCTCTTTAGCCCTTCTTTTATGCATTCACCTGGTATCTGTGAACCTGTTACCTCTAAAGCCTGTTTACCAGGGGCTGAGGTAAGTCATCACATGTGAGCCCCAGCCAGTAGGCCTTCTAAAGAATCTTTTCCCAACAACTGTAGAATTTCTTTTTTTTTTTTTAAGCTTATTTATTTTGAAAGAGACAGAACACAAGTAGGAGAGGGGCAGAGAGAGAAGGAGAGAGAATCCCAATCAGGCTCCCCGCTGCCAACATGGATCCCCACACAGGGCTCCATCTCACAAAACCGCAAGATCATGACCTGAGCTGAAACCAAGAGTCAGATGCTCAACCTTTTCCCTAACAACTGTAGAATTTCTAGTGACATTTGCTAATGTCTGATTTTCTAAGGAAAATTTCTAACAACAGCCTAGAGTATGTTCGTTCACCTTTCTTTTGGGTCTTAACAACTGAAAACTCCCTGTTTTCTTCTCTCGATGCCTCTTCATTCCTTGGGCTGCACACTGATGGCCCGAGAGCCTCTGCTGTTTGCATGGCCTGCACAATGTCTTAGACATTTTGGAATTAGTTACTAACATTTAAAAACAGGATGATTCCCCCTGAAAGGCTGGATTTGGGCCCCTTTCTGGAAACCTGGCAACAGGCTCAGGCAGTAACTTTGGTTTGCACCTCTGCTTTATGGAAGGAGAGATGCTTTGGCCATTGGAAAGCAGAACGTACCCAAATCTGGTACCCAAATGGCCACCTTCCCGTGAGTCCGAATACAAACTCCTCCAAACTCTTGGAGGGCATAAAAGCCAAATGTCTCAGGTTCCATCTCACTGTCTGTGCTAAAATGCAGCATCTGGATCACTGCGAATCTGGGGAAGAACAAAAACACCTTCTTTTTATTTACTCCCTGATCAGAAAATCTGACCAGAGCAATAGAGCGAGGTCAAGAGATCCAGTTTTTCCGTGAGTGTAGTAACGCTTAGTATAGAGTTGCTAGGAGGAATCTTAACATCGGAAGAAGCCTCACTTGAACTTCATTTGAAGGCTCTTGCAAAAACAAAACAAAACAAAACAACAAAAACCTGTAAAAAAAACATTAGAACCTGTAGCCCTGTGAGAGAGACATCAAGAGGCCAAGTTACGGCTCTGACTCACCAGTTAATGTGTCAACCTGTCTGGCTCTCAGTCTCTTTATCTCTGAAATGGAGAACCACTAATACTGGCCCTGCCTGTTTCTAGAGATGTTCCAAGCTTTCGAGGTGCTGGTAGGTGTAACTCAGCACTTGGACAACTCAGCCAAATACGCATCATCCAATGTTCACACCGTCGTGTGGCACAGTCATCAGAACGAACCCCTTCTGATCTCATCTAACTTTGTCTTATCAGTAGGTGTGCCCAGCCTTTAATACAGCCATCCCCCAAACCATTTGCTAGCCACGCGTGTCAGACCCAGCTTGAGAAAGGTCACCAGTGTATCCCAAAGGCCCAGGAAAACGTAAACAAGCTGCCGACAGCTTAGGTCCTAACCGATAAGAAAACATTTGTGGGTGTCCTATGTCAGAACGGTCTGCAGATGTAGAGGGGCAGCTACCCAACATAGTAGAACGACATTGTCTGGACTCCAAATGTCCAGGTGTGGATTGGACTCAAGCGGTCATTATACTTGGGGAATTGAAAGGGTCCTAGTGGTCACCACCCCAAGTGTATCCTGTGCTACTGAAGGGCGACTGCCATGACCCCAGATATGCCTCTCCTTCCTAGCAGAGGTGGGGAGCGGTCAGTTAGGGCCTGGGCTGCATGCATCTGGCAGGGTCTGAGGGCACCTGGCATTGTTCCCCTGTGAGGTCTACCTCTGCACCTGTGCACTGTAGTCAGGGTCATTGGCCCTGTTTCATAGAAGAGCCAGTATAGATGCTCCAAGATTAAATGGCGTGCCCACACCCCTCTGAGAGAGTCCAAGCATCTGAACCCCGGTTCAGAGCTCAGTCTCCATGGTGGACACAGAAGGAGAAGTGCTGTGGAGTCCCCATGACGGTGCCTTTGAGCCACAGCATGCCCTACAGGTGTTCATTGGCTCTCCAGGGTTTGGCTTTCTCCAGCCCTTGTAACCATTCTGGTTTTGAGAACCAGATGGACACTTTTGTTTACTGAAGTACCATGAACCTCCCGGTGCTGGGAGCAGCAGAATGTCAGAAAATGAATGTGAATAGTGCCTGAGAAGCTTAGCACAGCACTACCCCAGATCTAGTAGCTCAGGCTTTCCCTCCTCCATTGTTTAAGGGCCCTTCCTTGGCTGAGACCGTGTCTATGCGGTCCAGCCAACTCCCACACACACAGCCCACCAGGCGAGGGAGAGCCTTTAGCTGGCCTGCCTCTCTATTAGCCAGACCATGGCGAAGAACACCTCCCAGCTTTCTGGAAAGTAAGGCATTAGAAGGCCACAGTGCCCACTTTTTACCACAGTCAGCTTGATCAGTTATCCCTGATCAAGGAAAGTAAAAACCAGAAAGATAAATGGAACGGGATGATCTCAGCTGCCATCTGGGGCGGGTATCTGCGGGTGTCTGATTGATGTGCACAGAGCCTTTGGGGAGAGTACTCAGCATTTGGGATGCCACCGGCCCCCTCCCCAGCATGTCCGGCCAGAGCCAGGACCCAGGTGCAGGCTCGTTCTCCCAAGCTGAAAAACTCGTTCACGGACACTGAACTGGAAGTCTGTGCATGCGTGAACAGGCTGGGAGCAAGTGCGGTGGGGCAGGGGTGGCACAGAACTCAGCTGCGGGACCCCGGCCCTGTTTGCCTCGCCACCACTCCCTCCTGCCGCGGCCATCCCTGGGGGGCTGGCATGCACAGTTACAGAAATGTGTACAGTTCATACAAATCTGCCCATTGCTTTTCCCCATTTCTTCCTCAGAGAAGTAGAAAGGATCTTGTGGGGATACTTGTCCTCTCCCCTTCTGAGTGACCGGGTCAGTGTCAGTGGATTCCCCTGGATGGATCTTACCCCGACATTTTCACTTATTCAGACTAGATTTGCTTTGCGAGTAACATCTTATCTGTGTTCTGCTGCTTCTGCACGGTCCCCTTGTTGTGTGCTTGGGGTCGGTGCACTTTGTTTTTTCCGAGTTTATTTTTCTGAGAGAGAGAGAGAGAGAGAGAGAGAACAAGCTCAGGAGGAGCAGAGAGAGAGAGGAGAGAGAATCCCAAAGAGAGAGAGGAGAGAGAGAGAATCCCAAGCAGGCTCCACACTGTGAGCATGGAGCCTGATGCAGGGCTTGAACTCACGAACCTCGAGTTCATGACCTGAGCAGAAATCAAGAGTCGGACACTTAACCGACTGAACCACACAGGCGCCCCAAGTGTCAGTGCACTTTTTTTTTTTAATTTATTTTTGAAACAGAGAGAGACAGAGCATGAATGAGGGAGGAGCAGAGAGAGAGGGAGACACAGAATCTGAAACAGGCTCCAGGCTCTGAGCTGTCAGCACAGAGGCCGACTCAGGGCTCGAACCCATGAACCGTGAGATCATGACCTGAGCCAAAGTTGGACGCTTAACCGACTGAGCCACCCAGGTGCCCCGGGTCAGTGCACTTTTAAATCCCCTCCTATAACCAGTCTCCAAACCTCCCGACATTCCAGACTTTGAAGGCTTCGCACAAGTTGCCCCAAAGGAAAGTCAGTAGAATTCCCAGGGCTGTCAGGGCATCAGTGTGTCTGGAAGCTTTGACATTTTGCATCTAAGGAAGTGTCCTGTTACTTGGCCCCAGGGTGCTGTTGAGAAAGATAAGCCTGTCTCCAAGGAGGCGATGGGCCGGCCAGTCCATGGACATTCCACAGGTGCCGTCCTGCACTCTCTGTAATAAGAAGGACCAGTCACCCCTGGAGAGGGGCACCCATCCCTTCCTGTAGCTGGGTGAGGGTTCCTGAGAACAGCACCCAGAGCCTGGGAGGGGGGCCCCTCCCTCTCCCCCAGCCTCAGCAAATGACTGAATCACAAGCGGGTCCCCTAGGAGGGACAGGCTTCACATTCCCATCCCTGCTGAGGGCATTATTACTGCTCTGCCATGTTTGAAAAATGACCAGCAGCTGGCTCCCCTCCTGGGATATTAGCTATTTCCAGATCTGTGCAAATCATTGTTTTCACCCCCTAAATGCCGGGTATTCAACCTGAGGGGGAGGGAGATGTCACTTAAAATGGGAGAGGAGGAAATCGCATTTCTTTCTAGAATAGCATGACTTTTGATCAAAAGTTGAGATGTTTCAGTTTCAAGACCAGAGGCATTAATCACCACTGAAATGATGGGATGTTTGTAATTAGAAACAAATTATTCTGCAGGGATTATAATGGATGGTGTTTTTAAAGAAAACCGTTGGCTCTCTGTGTTAAGAGTATGGCTGTTCCCTTTCACTGAAGAGATCAAAGTGACCATTGACTTCCTGGTGCCAGCAAAGGTCCCGTGGAAGGGGGCTGGTCTGACTCCAAGGCCCCAGGTGTGCCCCTTACACCCGAGCCCCAGACTGTGATGTGGAAATCACAGCACCTCCCAGGGGGGGCTTAGGAGGTCAAAGGAAGAAATAAGCATG